GGACCGACGCGGTCGACCGCCGAACTCTCTGGAAATTTGGATCAGCCGCTGGATGGAGGGCGGTCGACCGGGCCGGTCGACCGCGATGGATCGCGGTCGACCGTGGCGGTCGCCCGCCGAAGCGGGTTGAGTCTGGGTTCTGTTTCCAGACCCGTTTCGTTTGAGAGTTGTATATAAACCCTGAACTCGTTTCTAGGGTTAAGTTTTGGAGGATTTGAGCTGCTGAAAGGGGATTTTCTAGGGCTTCTATTGTTGGAGTCTATTGGAGAGATCAAGTGGTCTTGTTTGAGGGTTTTTGGTAAGATTTATAACCCTAATTTGTATTCTCCTTGATTTCTATTAGTGAAACCCCCCCTCCTTGCCCCGTGGACGTAGGCACATTGCCGAACCACGTATATCTTGTGTTCTTACTGTGATTGGTTGGCTTGTGTTCATTTGTGGTCTACTATTGTTTTTATGTGTGCTTTTGTATTGTCGATTTGGGCTTCCGCGGCGCACAACAAGTGGTATCAGAGCTTCGGGTTGGATTTGGGAGTTTTGTTCGAAGGATTCACTGTTGGGTTCTTGTTTGAAGAGTAGATTTATAATATGGGTGATACAAGCAGGATTAGTTCAAGTGCTACTAGTACATCGGGGTCGGCTTTGACAAAAGCGATCCAAAATTTGAGCATCAATAATACTAAAATTGATGTCCCAAAGTTTGACGGCAAGATTAACTTCGGTTTATGGAGGTGTCAAGTAATGGACGCCTTAGATGCACAAAATTTGGAGGAGACTCTTGAGTTTCAAGAGAAACCCGATGAGATTGAGGATAGGGTTTGGAAGAAAATGCACAGTAGGGCTTGTGGGGTTATTCGGTCATGCTTAACGTCGGATCTCATTTATGATGTGATGAACGAGACTTCGGCGAAGAGATTGTGAGAAACGCTCAATAAAAAATATTTGACGAAGAGCATTGAGAATCGGCTTCACTTGAAGAAGAGGTTCTACCAATTCAAGATTAAGAGGGGAGTTTCCATTCGGGAGCATGTTAACAACTTCACAAAGCTAATTTCGAATATGGCCAATGTAGATATCATGGTGGAGGATGAAGACAAGGCGATGTTACTATTGTGTTCGCTACCGGATGATGAGTTTAGTACTTTTGTTCTCACTATGATAAATGGACGAACTACAGTTAGCTACAAGGAGGTGACCTCGGCATTGGTAAATTATGAGCTGAGAAAGAATGATAGTGAGCCCTCCGAGAAGGCATCGGGTGATGCATTAGCAGTTCGTAGCCGTAGTCCAAACCGTCAAAGGTTCAACCGCTCAAAATCAAAGAATAGAGGTGACCATAAAAGTATTGGTAGAAATCAATGTGCTTTTTGTAAAGAAAAAGGACATTGAAAGAATGAGTGCCCAAAGTTGAAGGATAGAGCCGGGAAGCAAAGGGGGAAAGCTGTACAAGCTTCAAAGATGAATGTTGCTAAGGTTGTTGGCGACACTTCAGATTCGGATTCTTCCGGTTATTCTTGTCCCGCACTGCTGTCAGTTTGTTATGCCGACTCTACGGAGTGGATGCTTGATTCGGAAGCTACATTTCACATTTGCCCTAAGAGTGATTGGTTTACCAACTTTGAGGAGTTGGAGAGAGGGCATGTGGTGCTCATAGGGAACGATCACGTTTGTCCTATCAGCGGGATTAGCTCAGTCAGAATCAGAATGCATGACGGGGTGACTAGGGAACTGAAAGAAGTGAGGTTCGTGCCGTATTTGACAAAGAACATCATTTCTCTTGGGACTTTGGAGGCAGCTTCTTATAGAGTGGTCTTAGAGGATGCTACTTTGAAGGTCATGAAGGGGTCCATGGTAATGATGCGAGGAGTCCGGGAAAACAACCTATACTACTTGAAGGGCAAGACAGTTACAGGGGGTCTGGCTGTTTTTATCACCACAGAGGAGGACACTACCATACTATAACACATGAGGTTTGGACACACAGATGATAAGTCCCTACAGTCATTGGCAAAACAGAGGCTATTGAAAGATGCAAAGACCTACAAGATGGAGCTGTGTGAGCATTGCATACTTGGGAAGAAGACTAAAGTGAAGTTTGGTCTGTGTGAGCATTGCATACTTGGGAAGAAGACTAAAGTGAAGTTTGGCACCGCAATTCATAACACCCAAGGTATATTAGACTACATTCACACAGATGAAGACTAAAGTGAAGTTTGGCACCGCAATTCATAACACCCAAGGTATATTAGACTACATTCACACAGATATTTAGGGTCCTTCTAAGCACACATCGCTTGGTGGGATAAATTATTTTGTCACTTTTATTGATGACTATTTCAAGAGGAATTGGGTATATACCATGAAACATAAACATGAGGTCCTGGAGATATTTATGGAGTGGAAGAAGAAAATGGAGCTGCAGACAGGTAAAAAGGTGAAGACTCTTCGTTCAGACAATGGTGGAGAGTATAAGAGTGATCTATTTCTGTAGTTTTGTCGGGATCACGGTATTAGAAGACACTTCACAATTAGAGAGACACTGTAACAGAATGGGGTGACAGAGAGGCTGAACCGTACCTTGCTGGAGAAGGTACGATGTATGATGACGCAGAGTAGATTGGCTAGGACCTTTTGGGCCGAGGCGTTAGTTTATGCGAGCCATCTCGTTAACAGGTTGTCGTGCACTGCGATAGAGGGGAAGACTCTTATGGAGCGTTGGTCTGGTTCTGTGGCTAGTGATTATGAAACTCTTCGGATATTTGGGTGTCTAGTTTATTTCCATGTTAGTGATGGGAAGTTGAATCCGAGAGCGAGGAATGCTATCTTTGTGGGATTTAGAGAAGGTGTCAAAGGCTTTAAATTATGGGATCCACAAGACAAGAAGATTGTCATTAGCAGAGATGTCACATTTGATGAGGCGTACATGATGAAGCCTCGAGTTCCTCAACAGGTGGAGGAAGATTAGACAGGAGGGATATCGTAGCAGGTGGAGGATGATGTGACTCCACCCACTCCAGTCAGCACTGTGTCCATTGAGACTCCTACAGAGGTGATACTGGAAGGAGTTGAGATGACAGTCGGGCATTTGGAGGATACAGTGTATGGTGAGGCTCAGGAGCAGGGTCATGCTCAGGGGTCCATTGTAACAGATAGACCGAGAAAAGAGATTCGTCAGCCAGTTAGATATGATGATGTCATGGTGGCATATGTTTTATCTGTGAAGGTCGTTGATGATTTGATTCCTGCCACATTCAGGGAGGCAGAGTCCAACCCTGATTCTATTAGGTGGAGGAATGCTATGGAGGAGGAGATGCAATCTCTTCAGAAGAATGACACTTGGGAACTTGCAAAGCTACCTAAGGGTAAGAAAGCTATTGGTTGCAAGTGGGTGTATGCTAAGAAGAAGGGATCTTCTATTGGGGATATTCGGTTCAAGGTCAGATTGGTTGCCAAGGGATATGCACAGCTTGAGGACATTGATTGCAACGAGGTATTTTCACCCGTTGTGAAGCATTCGTCTATTCGGATTCTATTGGCATTGGTAGCACAGCTGGACTTAGATTTGATCCAAATGGACGTGAAGACGGCCTTTCTACATGGAGACTTAGACGAGGAGATCTACATGACACAACATTTGGGGTTTAAAGCTGCAGGAAGAGAAAATTTGGTATGCAAATTGAAGAAATCTCTTTATGGACTGAAGCAATCACCGCGACAGTGGTATAAGAGATTTGATAGCTTTATGATTAGCCAAGGGTACACGAGGAGTCCGTATGACCCGTGTGTTTATATGCGCAAGCTATAGGATGGTGAGCACATTTATTTGTTATTGTATGTTGATGATATGATCATAGCTTCCAGGAACACTTCAGCTATTGGGAAATTGAAAAAGAAGCTGTCATCTGAATTTGAGATGAAGGACCTGGGAGAGGCTAAGAAGATACTGGGTATGGAGATTGAGAGAGACAGGATGAAGGGGAGATTGAAGCTTACACAGAGGAGTTACTTGCAGAAGATGCTAAAGAAATTCAGTTTTGAGGGTAATACCAAGGTGGTGAGTACTCCATTAGCTCCCCACTTTAAGCTTTCAGCGTTGATGTCACCAGTTTCAGTAGAGGATCGGGACTACATGTCCAAAGTTCCATATGCCAGTGCAGTGGATATGTTGATGTATGCTATGGTGTGTACGAGACTAGATTTGTCACAGGCTGTGAGCATGGTATCTAGGTACATGCACAACCCCGGGAAGGGGTATTGAGAGGCCGTGAAGTGGATTCTACGGTATGGATGTTGGGTTGATATTTGTAAAGAATGATAAGACAGTGCAGGATTGTATTGGCTACGTGGATTCAGACTATGCCGGAGATCTTGACAAGCGTCGGTCCACTACAGGTTATGTTTTTACATTGGCTAGTGTACCGGTGTGTTGAAGATGCACTCTTCAGTCTACAGTGACGCTTTCTACTACGGAGGCGGAATATATTACGGTGACTGAAGCAGTGAAGGAGGCTTTGTGGTTACATGGCTTGTTGGATGATTTGAGGATTGCACAGGAGACCATTCAGGTATATTGTGATAGTATGTCAACTATCTATTTGGCGAAGAACCAAGTCTACCATGCACGCACGAAGCACATTGATGTCAGATTTTATTTTGTACGTGACGTTTTGGATGATGGCGATGTCACGTTAGAGAAGGTCCACACTAAGGACAACCCTGCTGATATGTTGACCAAAGTTATACCAGGTGTGAAGTTTGGTCATTGTTTGAATTTATTGAACATTCTTCGTTGTTGAGGCTGTTGGCGGCCATTTGGATGAACTACGTTCGGCTTGATTCCTTGGGCAAAAGGATACGTAGGCAGTCTTGCAGATGCAGCCGGTTGTATGAGTTTGAGATTGATTGGGGGTGTTTTGGTGTCGGCTAAGTTTTGGCAAAACGTTCGCCGAGGTGGAGATTTGAAGAATTGGCTTTCAGGCTCAGGTTTCAGGCAGACTGGGTGACGGTCGACCGCGGCGATCGACCGCGTTCGTGCACGAGGTTTACTGGGCGTCAGGATTGTGGTGGTCGACCGGCCGGCGGTCCGACCGCAGACAGTTTCTGTTCTGATGGGCGTCGACCGCCGCGGTCGACCGCGATGGATCACGGTCGACCGTGGCGGTCGACCGCCGAAACGGGTTGAGTCTGGGTTCTGTTTCCAGACCCGTTTCGTTTGAGAGTTGTATATAAACCCTGAACTCGTTTCTAGGGTTAATTTTTGGAGGATTTGAGCTGCTGAAAGGGGATTTTCTAGGGCTTCTATTGTTGGATTCTATTGGAGAAGGGTTTTGGGTAAAATTTGTAACCCTAATTTGTATTCCCCTTGATTTCTATTAGTGAAACTCCCCCCTCCTTGCCCCGTGGACGTAGGCACATTGCCGAACCACGTATATCTTGTGTTCTTGCTGTGATTGGTTGGCTTGTGTTCATTTGTGGTCTACTATTGTTCTTGTGTGTGCTTTTGTATTGTCGATTTGGGCTTCCGCGGCGCATAACACTTTCAAAAAATAATCGCTCCTAAATACCCTCTAAATCTCTAACACGACAGATTTAATTGGATGTCATAGACCAGAGATAAATTCTTTTACCCATATAAAGGCTTTATACTCCAAGGGACATATGCTACAGAAACCACAAACTGGGAGGCCGAAGGTGAAAGCTTGAGCACATCTTTCATCTGGTAGGAAACTGCAGTCCAAACAAAGGATCTGAAACCCTGTTAATTCAAGCAATCAGCCTTTATAGGAGATTCAAACAAACTCCAATATATTTAAACATAAAGCGACGGTAGATAAAAACAGCCTCGAACATTGAAGAATAGTTGATATGGACATTTAAATTTAAATAAGAACGAAAACATTAAAGTTGTTAATGATAGTAATCACTCTCCATTCAAGATTCAAGATTATAGTAACATGTACTGGACTAACAGACTCCCAGCAGCTTAGTTCAGACTAGCGAATTATCTAGCTTTTTTACTATTCCCAGCGAAAAAAAAGGTTGGCTCTGGTAGTGTGTTGGGCCAATTATGAATGTCAGCATTCTCCAACTTCAGCCACCAATTGAGAGGAATTAGTGACTGTTCAAGTCTAGTATGATGGAAGGTACAGCTAAAAATGAGGCTCCTCTGGAAGGACCGATTTTGATTAGGGAGCACAGGAAAACAAACACACAAACGCACACGCTCGCGCGCGCGCACAGATAACACAGGAAAACACACACGCACGTGCACGCGCATGCGCATGCGCACGTGCATGCGCAAGACCACACGCGTGCACACAGATCAATTACACACATATTTGTGTGTAAACAACATATACATATACACGAGTACACAAAAATATGTGAGCTGTGCAGCACATCAACAGGTATAGGTGAAATGTATTATTGGTTTATTACTTTATTTTAAACGTTATGGCATGAAAGTAGCATCTCAGTTATATTTTGTTAAATAATGATCTTATTACATAGATAATATTGAAACTGGCATGTTGTATTATGTTCACATGTATGAGGTTTTAAAGTACTTGAGAATGTGGTATTTATGCATATTCTAGGATCTGATAAATATTGTTTAGAATATGGAAATTATTTTTAAGAAAAATTATTTGTGAAAGATATTTTTTCAGACTTCCTTTAAATAACATTTGGTGAAAAATCTTTGTTTAATGAAAAATATTCTAATTCTGATTGGCTCGTGAATATTTTACTCTGTAAAGAGATATGAGAATTCTATGTTAACGAAGTGTTTTAAGCATACTAAGTTATTTTGCAAGTAGAAAACAGAAAGTGCTACTGTATGTGCAAAAACAGAGAGAATTATTTTCCAATGCTAAAAAATTCTCAGAAGACCACTGTGGAGTGAACTGAATTATTTAAGCATACCATGTGGAATCAATTGTAACAAAAGATGACCTTCGGCAATTTGATGTGGCATTTATCGCAAGTTATATGGCCTCCATGTAACCAATGATAGGCGAGGCACATTCTCTTCCTAGATGAATTATAGTGAGTTATGTGCATTCCCATACAACTGGGCTATATATTTAATTATAGTCTCAGTGTGACAACAGAGGATATTTTGTGAATTGTAATTTTGATATACATTTACAGTAAAGGTATTTAGTACTAAACATCAATTTATTTCTTATGTCTGTATGAATTTTATGTAATACTGTCATCATGTTACTATGATAGAAGATTGATTTTATTCAATATCCAATATGCTGCCGTTCTTTCAGTTTGATTACAACTTCATCTTTAAAGTGTTGTATTATTGAACATGTCTAATCAGCTAATGAGAAGTTGCCCACACATTGAGTGCATATCTTCCCGTGTTTTTTACACTTTTAAGATGCAAATTAATTTGCAGTATTTTTAGCTGGGAGAGTGGTTACATATGGAAGTTTTGCTTAGTGGATGTTTTCTACTGGAGGATTTAAAGATTATATTAGACATGCATCTTATGCATTAAAAAAGAAATGTCGAACCGATAGGTGTAAGATTGTACTTTCCCTTGTTACAACCTTAGTATTATATTGATGTAAGACTTCTGAATATGGAGGAAGTCGATTTCATAAAGATAAGAATATGATTGATCAATCTGCTAAACCAAGGTCCTTCATTTCACACTCCTATATTTATCAAGAGCTGGTGGTCATAGAGCAAGTTTTCATGTGTGAGCATAATGCAACAGAGTGGGGTTCTATAAAACTGACTACTTAGCTTCCCTTATGTGATTACAGCATTCTAATCTCTGAGTTTCTTGTACATTAACTTTCATTCTTTTGAGCCATTATAAAATTAATCACACCAGTAAACACGGTTATACATTTTTAACAGTATTGTAAATGTAGTTTCAGAATTGAGCATATCAACTTAGGTCCAAGGTGAATTTTTCAAAAAGTTTGCAACACAATAAATTTGATTTTATTAAATTTCTTTTCCATTGCATTTCTCAAACATCTCTTAAGTACCATTAGCAAATTATTATATTCTATTCAAAGTGCCTAAAAGTTAAAGGCATAATTTTGTCTAAACATAGTATGGAATCATGTCTTACACCACTGGATATTACATTGAACTTAACAATCTAGTGCTTGAGATCATGCAATGATGTAGAATTCATCCTGATGTTACTTGTACTTTGACTGAAAATGGATTAGAACTTATCGATAGTTTATTATGTATATTATTATAAAAAAACTACTTTTAATAAGACATGTAACGCTATCTTTAAGACTGTTAAAAGGGATCTTTTTTGTGAAACCATTGTACCATTGCACATGCACGGTTCAAAGTAAAGACTTTGAACAAGTTTAATGATTTTGGTATATGTGTAAATTACTTACTCATGAGTTTGCAAAAGATATCCTCTTAACATCAAAAAGAAAATTCAGCAAATTTTACCACCTATTGAAAACTATCAGTTACATTTAGTTCAGATGAGCTTAAGAAAACAGTGCCTCGGGTGACCAATATATTTAGCATGCCAATGTGTCAAGGAGAATTAAACCAGACGATCGTGTAAGACTGTTCTCCTCCCAAAATCATGAATAAATATAAAACAGGTCTAGGTGCTTTATAATGGACTTTGATATACTAGAAGAGATAACTAGAAACCTTGCAGCAAATCTTTCTAACAATATAAGGACAAATTTTCAAAACCAACCCTTTTAGCATTTTATTTGCAAAAAACGACCTATTTTGAAAATAATTACAAAAACCGACCTGTTTTCAGCCCAGCGCTGAAAACAGGTCGGTTTTTGTAAAAAAGTCTCCGAAACATCACGGGAGTTCAACTCCCGTGAAGTTTATCGAGAAATTAAACTTCACGGGAGTTGAACTCCCGTGAAGCTTAATTTTGCTTAAAACTCCACGGGAGTTCAACTCCCGTGGAGTTACAGTCGAAAATTTCCCCGGATTTACCATATAAGTGAGTTCCATCAATGCTAAGAAGAGGACGGCAATGACGAAACCCCTCAATACAGGGCCCAAATGCCCAAAATACACCGGTGAACCGCCGTTCTCCGCCATCAACGGGGTCCGAAGATACTTCGTAGACAGTCCCCGGATTTTCTCTTTTGAGTGCTTCAAGATAATGAGGTAAGATCTCATACGATTTATCCCAATCCCCGAATATTTTTATCATCGCCTTCCTCCTAGCATTCCAACACTTGTGATATGATACATCCAAGTTGGTGGCTTTATGCACTAAAAGACGGATATCTTTCGGCCTTAGATCAAGATCCTCCCGTGGAAATTTTCGACTGTAACTCCACGGGAGTTGAACTCCCGTGGAGTTTTAAGCAAAATTAAGCTTCACGGGAGTTCAACTCCCGTGAAGTTTAATTTCTCGATAAACTTCACGGGAGTTGAACTCCCGTGATGTTTCGGAGACTTTTTTACAAAAACCGACCTGTTTTCAGCGCTGGGCTGAAAACAGGTCGGTTTTTGTAATTATTTTCAAAATAGGTCGTTTTTTGCAAATAAAATGCTAAAAGGGTTGGTTTTGAAAATTTGTCCAACAATATAACACTGCCTAGTTCGAGTTGATGAAAGCAAGTGGATTTTAATTTATACAAATGTGTATAAGTATGTGTGAATATGTGTGTGCGAGTGTGTGTATATCTACGCATACATATTTCGTAGGTGAATGTTAGATCACTTATCCCAAAAAAAGCGGGAAAAAATAGACCTGTTTCAAGCAGTTGATGGATTTGTCAAGGGATAAAATTTGTGGCATTTAGTCGCATGTCCAGTAAGGATCTTCAAATATGTAGCCTTATTTGAACTTCGATACCCCAAAGTTTCACCTTTTTTAACTTTGACACCACAAGGTTCTATTTTCACAATTTGATATGACAAAGTTCCAGATTTACGTTGGTTTGATAATTTGATACCCCAATACCCTAACTTTCTGCCTCAATTGTCCCAATCTACAAAAACTAAAATTTGGTTTTTTAAAAAATAGATTTGCTTTCTCATTTCACACTTTTATGTTGATATTCTTCAATAAAATTCATGTCAACCTTTTGCACTTTGGGGTGTTCAAGTTGTCAAAATACAGCTTCAGGGTATTTAACTTAAAAGGTGAAATTTTGAGATATAAAAATGCAAACAACCTAAACATATATTGGTTTATAAACTTGGAACCAGTAATAATATGGTAAGGCATCAAGCGGTCACATAAACGGTCAAAATTCGAAACTTTTTAAGCAATTGAAGGCACAAATTCATCAAAAAGCTGCAATTTCACAAATTAAGACGCAAAATCGTGCAAAAGAGGAACCTGGGTGAAGTAAATCACGATGACTAGCCAGACGAAACAAGGGCCAAAGATGGCGCTCATCTTCTTCACCCATTCGATCGCCATTCTCCTCCTCCTCCTCCTCCTCTTCTTCTTCGTTTCTTGGAGATCAAATTTGAGGGGTTTAAGAGAAAATTTTCAATCCTGATTCTGTAATAAATTGAGAGAGGGAGAGAGCGAGAGAGAGAATCTCTCGCTTGCATTTCTCGTGTTCGATCATTGTTGCTTATTTTGGGTGCCGTTGCATTTTTGGGTAAGTTTGACCCTTCTTTGACCCCGCTCCCGCTTTTGGCTCGTTTTTGTGGACCCCAGTAGATCCTAATATCTGCGCCTGTTTTAAATGAGCTGTAAAATTTTTGCAGGAATAACTCGTTACGGAAAAACTTGAGAAATTTGAGAATTCAGAACATTGAAATGTATATAATAAGAGAATATTTTCACGCTGTACCCTCTTTAATTCTTCTCCTGAGGACCCCTTAAATTTTTCAACGATATTTTTTCAACTTTCTTTTTTTCTCAGACGGATCTCTATAATTGTAACTAACTTCAGATGATGATCACGAGTCGAGACTAACGATATTCACGTTGGAGGTTTCATGGGAAAAGATAGGAAAATTTTAGAAAAAACAAAATTCAAAGGTAGAGGATTATAAATTTTACCTTTCTTTACAGAGTTTTTTTTATATAGTTTAATCTATGGCGAAAAAGCCAGTTTTAGGGGGTGTTTGTTTAGTTGTAAGTGAAAATTGTAAGTATGAAAACCACTTATTCTTGAGACTTCACTTGTTTGTTTTATTGAAAGCTATAGTGAAAGTGAGATCCAAAATATAGTCCACATTAGATTTTTTGCAATTTCAACATCCCCTAAAAAAGTGCAAAAGTGAGCCACATTATATTAAAAATACTATAATATTTAATATATCAGATTTGTTTCATCTTTAACGATATCTCTTATCCTCTAATTTTTCTCTCACGCATCTTTTCTTTTCCCGCTGTATTTTTCCCCTTTTAATTTATTTTTTACCTCCATAGAAATAATCTCACTGTTTTCCCCCGCGTTTTGAATATTATTCTCATCATTTTTTGTTGCAACAGTAGTTTGAAATATGTCACTAATATTTGTTTTCATTGAAAATAAATAATTGGGTTATTTACATTTTGTAGCTTGGGTGTTCTTTGTGGTTCTCTCATCTCCACTTGCAAGTATTACAAAAATAATTTGATCATAATGTTAATAATACCAAGGTTTTTTTTTTGCTGAAATTTTGCCAGTGAGATTTATACTAGAACTAACCATGATGATTGCTTAGTTTTGGGTATATATGTCTTAGGTTTATTTATTTTGTTAAATTAGTGTTGATGACTACATGATCTCAATCCTGAATAAGGTTCAAAATGGTAAATGGAGAACGTGAGTGATTTTAAAGAAAAACATGGTTTTTTAATATATAAATAAACAAAATAATGTTGCCACGTCATCCACATTTTTCTACTTTCAGAAATAACTTGTTTTTGCAAACAAACAATGTATGTCAATTATATGCTGACTTGGATGCATTTTCGCACTTTCAAAAAAAAGTCATTTTCATACTTTCAACTCCGTTGCAAGTAGACAAACACCCCCTTAGTTCCTGTACTAGAACCTCATACTCAAATTGGTCCATGCACATTATTTTATTTTCTTAAATTTAGTCTCCATGCTCCTTATTAGATGTAAACCTAGTCATTTTTTTAACTCTTCGATTAAAAGCTCCGTTAAATAATACTCGAAATTACACTATTATCTTCACCGCTCCAAACTGACATGCTCCATGATTTCTCCCCCCCATCGCTTCTCTATGCCTTGGTTGTGTCGATTTCTGCAGGTCTCTAATAAATTATCGAGGCTTTTGTGTATGATCAACGACTTGACAAATGAGAATATATTCTTGGCGACTTCACCATACTTCTGTTCACGTACGAACCGCAAGGCATCAGTGATTTCTAGGTAGCTACGAAGTATGGACGTCGACTACTAGCTTTGTGAAGCCTGGGTCGCTTGGAGAAGGACTTAATTGGTCCATTTTATTAGGACTCGCTAACATCACGCATTAGAGAGACCACATATTGATCCAGCACCTTGCAATACCATAGGGTGTGTTATTCCTTCCGCATTGTTTATTTGGGCTAGGACAACTATATCCATGAATCCGGCATTCTTGGATTGAGACCTGGACTCGGACTTATATAGCTAGAGCTCCGGACTATTAAACTAGACGGAAAATTTCCGTCTTGGAATATTCCGTCTAGAATAAAACATTCTAGACGGAAATTTCCGTCTAGAATAGTAAAGTAGACGGTTTTTTATTTTTAATTTTTTTTTTAAAAATTAACCAACTATCCTAGACGGAAATTTTCGTCTAGAATATTTCCTATTCTATTCTAGTTCTATTCTAAACTAAAACTGATATTAAAATGTCGATTTTAAAAACTCGATGCTATATAAATGCTATCAAAAATAAGTGAGGGTATATAAGTGCAAAGTATGAAAATTTTTAGGATAAATTGCACAAAATGCTATAAAAATTTATGTTTTGGCAATTAAATACAACCTGCTGCATTTTAATATAAAAAATATCATAATGTTTCCAAAATTTGAACGTTATTACCATCAATCATGCAAACATAAAAAAATTTTACCTGAATGTTTGTCTATAATACTTATATACTAATTTTAGAGTTTTCTAACTATTAATATTTATTAAAAAAATTTATTAGAAATACTTCAATTCAATTTTAAAGTAGAGTTAAGACAAGTTTGCAAAAAAAGTTAATTTAATGAAAATTTTAACAAATATTATTAGTTAAAAAGCTTTAAAATTAGCATGTACGTATCATAGAGAAACATTAGGTGAACATTTCTATGGTCGATAATAGTAACAAGCAAATTTTAGAAACTTTACAGTATTTTATTATATCAAAATGCAACTTGTGATATTTAATTGTTAAATCGGAGAACTTTACGGTATTTTTTCACAATTTCGCCGAAAATTTGAGGTATTTAACGGCCGATTAGAGCCAGATCTACAGCGGATTCAGCACCTTTTCAATATTGGACAAATTTTCAAAACCAACCCATTTGATGTTTTTATTGCAAAAAACGACCTGTTTCCAATTTATTTAGAAAAACCGACCTGGTTTCAGCACTGTTGCTGAAACCAGGTCGGTTTTTCTAAAAAACTTTACGAAACTTCACGGGAGTTCAACTCCCGTGAAGTTTAGCATACTTTTAAACTTCACGGGAGTTGAACTCCCGTGAAGTTTATTTCCATCAATAAACTCCACGGGAGTTCAACTCCCGTGGAGTTTGTTCTATTGTTAAAACTCCACGGGAGTTGAACTCCCGTGGAGTTACAGGCCAAATTTGCCAGAGAATCGCTCCCTGGGAAATTTACACTACAACTTCACGGGAGTTCAACTCCCGTGAAGTTGTAGGTTTTGCAAAAACATGTACAGCATGCATACGTCTACCTATTTAACTCATATATACAGCTATTTACCTGTTGACAATAATTACTACAATATATATATTATTTAAACACATACGAATCAAACAATACGCAAAAAGATTACATATTGAGCTATAATTGATCCATAAAAGTATAGTATTTGAAAATTCATACAATTTACAAATTTTAACAAAATAAGTTCAAATACAACCCAATATAGCTCCTCT